TATTTTTATAATTTTGTTATTAATGATAATTATTACTTTTACAATTCCCAATCCCCTAAAATCTTTTCTGGCATAGATTTAGTCTTTATAATCCAATTAGATAGTTGTCTACTACTATGTAGAATTTTTAAATCTAAACTATTTCCAAGCATTATTGGGACAGTGATTGAATTTGCTACTTTTTAAAAAGAGTTTGTGTGCTTTATTAAATTAAATTAGTAGCCTCAACATTTTCTTTATCCATTATTTTTCTTTTCTGTAGCTTCAGCATTTTCCTTCTACTTGTAAGCATATAAAAGGTAATTTGGCATAATAATACACATTATAACATCAGTCTTGGTTTCTATAAAATACACTGAACACTGAGTGAATAATAATGCTGGTAACTTCAGACTATGGCTCATACTTGGCAGTCTCTTTGCTGAGTTAGTTGCAGCTACAGGTGACTTAACTACCACATGATCTACCATCAGATGCCCAACTTATTTTTAGTTGAGTAGGAGGTCAGACAACAGAATATGTGGGTGATAGTCAGGTGCTTGTTTTTAGATTTTACCAAGCCAGACTACAATTTTTAAATTCAGATCTAACTGTTCTGTAAGAAAATGACTGAATTCTTGTTTATAGAATAAACCAAACATTTCCAAGAAAACTATTCTATATTTCAACTATTTATTTCAGAGGAAAAAAAAAAGACGTTTCATGGGGTAAGGGGGTATCTTTCATCATTTAAGTAACAGTGAATAATAAAACACATACAGGATACAGAGTAAAGTGGTTAATTAAAGAACAACTTCAGTTTGAAGAGCAATAAGCATGATAATAGACCATAAATTATGCTAAACAACATTTTACCTAGAAATTCAGAAAAGAAGTCATTATCTTCAAATATGTGTCTGAAGCTTTTTTTCTTTGGTGATTGCTTTACTAGTTTGAGTTATTCTTGTTTAAAGGGGTGAGAGAAACTACCCACAGAGAAAATACCCACAGAATTCAACTACATACACTTACCATGATGATCAAGTACCCCAAAATAAGAGAAATTACTCATTCCAAGTGATAACGCTAGAACTGGAAATCACTCAATAATGTTAAAGGGAGCTCTGGTGGCTTAACAAAAAGGGGCTACACTGGCAATCCAAAGGTACATGGTTTTAAATTCACCAGCTGCTCTGTGGGATAAAGTTGGGCAATCTCCTTCTGTGCATAACTGTCTCTGAAAACCCGCTATCAGGTCAGCTATGGGTCAGTTTTGAGTTGCTGGCCCACAAAAACAAGCCACTAGAACTCCCTAAAAGTAATTTTTTTCCCCTTTCTGCTCTGTTCACATATATAGGAGATGTCACCTTTCAGTGATATCTCACATGCACAGCAGTTAACTTTCAACTGCTTGCAGTAGTTACAGGTGGAGAAATTTGGTGAGTCATGTAAGACATTGATAATAGAAGCCATAGGGAAAGTCCATGACTTCACTTTTCTAAGATACAATAATGCTACACAAATTTAAGTTTTTTCACTATACACACATATACCTCAATATTACAATAAACTTTTAAAAAAGTCCTTTAAAATATAGAAAGCTGCATCATAACTTACCATATGGAAAGCCTCTGGAGAATGCTGAAAACTAAGCAGCATGTGAGAAAGAACTGCAAGAGCACCAGGTCTCACAAGAGGAAACCAAAGTCGATTAAAAACCTTCAAAAATGAGACAAAAAAAATTCATCTCATAATTTGCAGAAAAATCATTAATCACAGGGTCATAAACTATTTTTATACAAATGGGCCTCTTCCTGGAAAGTTTTCTCATAGTATTCTAGAGATATTGTAGCTGATGTTAGATGGATCTTGGCTGAAAGCAGGGAATACCAGAGGAATGTCTATCTGTGTTTCATTGACTATGCAAAGGCATTTGACTGTGTAGATCATAACAAACTATGGCTGACTGAGAAGAATGGGAATCCCAGAACACTTGATCATTCTAATGAGAAACTTATACTTGGACCAGGAGGCAGTCGTCAGAACAGAGCAAGGGAACACTGCATGGTTCAAAATTGGGAAGGGCGTACGCCAGGGATGCATCCTATCTCCATACCTTTTCAACCTATATGCAGAACAGATTATCCGGGAGGCTGGGCTCTATGAGGAGAAATGTGGGGTCAGGATTGGTGGACGATTTATCAACAATCTGCGTTATGCGGATGACACAACCCTGCTTGCTGAAACTGAAGAGGACCTGAAGTGCCTGCTGCAGAGTGTCAAGGACTGCAGCCTACAATATGGATTGAGGCTCAATGTCAAGAAGACAAAGATTCTCACCACTGGACCAATTGGCAGCATCAGGATGGATGGTGAAGAGACTGAGATTGTACACAGCTTTAGTTTGCTTGGCTCCACAGTCAACAGTCTTGGCACCAGCAGCCAGGAAATTAAAAGGCACATTGCCATGGGAAAGTCTGCTGTTAGGGACCTCTCCAAAGTACTGAAGAGCAATGGTGACTCTCTGGAGACTAAGGTGCATCTGATACAGGCTATGGTCTTTGCAATCAGTTGTTATGCATCAGAGAGTTGGACAATGACCAAGGAGGATAGAAGGAGAATTGATGCCTTTGAGCTGTGGTGTTGGAGAAGAGTCCTGAGAATACCATGGACTGCTAGGAAAACAGAAAAACAGAGATTTGTCCCGGAAAGGGTTAAACCGGGTGGCTCCTTGGAGGCAAGGATTCTGAGGCTCCGTCTAACATACTTTGGACATGTTGTGAGGAGAGGCTGGTCCTTGGAGAGGGACATCATGCTTGGGAGGGTGGAGGGACGATGCAGGAGAGGAAGGCCCTCTATGAGGTGGATTGATTCAGTGACTGGGATAATTGGGACGGGTGTGTCAGAGACAGTACGATTGGCACAGGACAGAGCGGAGTTTAGGGCTGTTGTACATAGGATCGCTATGAGTCGCAAACGACTCGATGGCACATAACAACAACAACAACAACATGTCATTAAACTCTACAGTAGTAAAAAGTTGGGGATTAAATGGTAGAGATCAAGAGAAATGTAATAGCTGAGCCAACCTTGAAAACTCACTAATGAAGTGAATACCTATCAAATGAAATTTAAAAGGAAAAGCTTCTTGGTTCATTAATTACTCAATTTATTTGTCAAATATTTATTGTACATCTTTAACTGCTATAGGTCAATGAATTAAAAAAAAAAGTCTTTGATCTCATAGGGTTTCTCTTGTAGATTTCTTGTAGAAAGTGAACTGTTGTTATGTACCTTCTAATCAGAATTGACTCATAGCTGACCGTCAAGCAGATTTTCAGAGGCAGTAAATAGTTTGAGAGATTTCCCATCTTTCTGTAGTGAAGCAGCTGATAAACGAAAACCATGAGCCTTGGAATTAGCAGTGCACGCACCTTCTTACCACTAAGCCACCAAAGCTCCCAGATGGTGAGGAGAGACAATAAAAAGGTATTGATAATTAAAAAGTGCCAAGACAGGTGACATACAATTATAAAATTGAGAGGAAAAAGAATAAACCTAGCAGATACTTGGGAAAAGAAGAGAGTAAGAAAAGTAAGCAGCATTGTAAAGGCATGTAATCCAGCGTGTATGGAGAATGTAAGTGGAGAGTATAAGTGAAAAACAAAGAACTGGCATATACATTGTTAAAGAAGAGATCAGAGAGGAAATAATTAGCTAGATCACAGAGAGCCTACTGTGTTACTTGCAGGAGAAAAATGGTAAAAGCAAAAGAATTACTGTAATCAATTAAGTGAGAGATAATTACAACTTTGCAAGAGGAGGACAGTGATGCAGAGCTGAGATCCTCAACATATTTTTTAAATGGAGTCAATGACATTTGTTCCATATAGGCTGAGTGAAAATGAAGAGATAAAGGTAATTTCAACGTTTTTAAGCTGTGAAAAGAGAACTATTAAAATGGGGAAGAGTGCAGTTAGGGAAGGAAATAAATCATGTTTTTGTAAGATTGTGGGTACCTTAAAAATGTTCCATGGAAAAAGAAACCGCCATGTAATAGCAGTTAGATGCATAGGGATAGAGTTCAAGAAGTCAATGACTTAGAAATATAAAACTGGCAATCATTAATTTAGAAAGCTATGGGAAGCCTGGTTCAGGCCATTTTTCAATCACTTGCTATGTATCTGAGAGCTAGAAAATGAATAAAGATGAGAGAAGGATAAATGCCTTTGACTTGTGGTGTTAGAAGGGAAATGAACATCCCACGGGCTGCCAGGAGAACAAGAATAGTTACAGTGCTCCTTATAGGCAAACATGGAGAGACTTTGTCTCATATGTTTTGGGCATTTTGCTAAGAGGAGTTGGTCTTGAAAAGGGACATGATACTTGGAAAGGTGAAATGTCAGCAAAAGAGAGATGGAACTGATTGACATAGAGACTGGAGCCATGGATGCAATTGTATCAGAGATGATGAAGATGGCACAAGATTGAACAGAGTTCCGATCTGTTGTTCATAGGATTGTTATGAGTTGTATTCCATTTGACAGCACCTAGTAACAACACACTCTGCAAGGTCTGAGAAGAATATAGTTGGAAGACTGAATTCTAAAGCATTCTAAGCTTAGAAAGTTCCAGAGAGTAATGCTAATGAATGTGTTTATTTCTAAAGCTTATTCATATTCTTTTAAAATAAGAACATACTCAAAACTAGTTGTAATATATAGCTTTATCTTTTACAGTTTCACAACAGGAAAACTGATTACATGAACCTGGCTTACCAGTTCTATTTTCAGTAAAGTAACATCTATTAAAATGGTAAATTTCTGGACAGCTGCCAGTCCTTTTAGTAGTGCAATCACCCAAGTATCAACATGTTGAGCCAAAGGCCAGGACAGCCAGTCGATCATTCTGAAAATCAAAGGAAAACAAAACTATTAACATTGAAAATGTTTTCCACCTTAAGGAACAAGAGTTGTAACAGATAATCATTTATTTTGTGACTTAAGTGTGTAAATGACACAATAAATGAGTATGGTGGGCATTTCTAATTACGTGAGCTGACAGTTTCCTAAAGTTAACACGTGTGTGTGTTACGTGCTGTCAAACAGACTATGACTCAGTGATCCTCTGGACAATAGATCAGAACCTTGCCCTATCCTGCAGTATCCTCTGGATCTTGAGCCCACCTGCTCCATGCTTGAGCCCATTGTTCCAGTTACTATATCATATATGATACATATTATACTCTACAGTCTCCTCTTCTCTGACCCACCTCTATTTCCATAATAATGTCTTTTTCCAAGAACTAGTCTCTCCTAATAAAATACCCCAAATATGTGATACATGAAGTTTTACCAACCTTGCCTCTAAGGAGTACCCAGGTTATACTTCCTCTAAGACAGATTTGCCACTCTCTTCTCTAACACCACAGCTTAAAGGCATTCATTCTTGAGTCATCCTTTATAATTTAGTTCCATTAAAAAATTATTTCTAAGTTACAATTATACAGAAACAAAAATTTTAATTTATACTATATATAGTGCTATCAAAGGGAGATCTGCTCTGGTGGCCCAGTGGTAAGGAGTTGCACTGACAAACCAAAGGCAGACTGTTCAAATCTACCAGATGCTTCTCTGGAGAATGATGGGCAATTTCCTTCCATGGGATTTACAGACTCTGAAAACCCACTGGAAGATCACATATGAGTCGGTTCCAATTCTACTACTATCAGCTGGAGTTCTGAGTAATAATTGAGAATTTTAGGCAAACTTAAGAAGAGTAGATCAAGCATGCTGTTATTCTGTTAAGTGATGTCGAGTATAACCCACAGCGATCCCATCCTGTACTAGCCTCACAATTTCGGAAACACTCAAAAACCACTGCTAAAGCCACTGTGTTGATCCACAGTGGTGAAGGGTGTCCCTCTTTTAACAACATGCACAAAGTATGTGAAAGGAAGCTTTATTTCCTTTGCCTCTAAGGAGCACTCTGGCCGAACCTTCTCCAAGGAATATCTATTTCTTTGGCTGTAAATAGGATATTCAGTATTCTTATCCACAGCTCAAACGCATCAATTCTTCTTCTGTTGTCCTTATTCACTGTCCAGCTCTCAGATGCACAGCAAGTAAACGTAAAGACCATGTCCTGAATTGGGAGCATGACAATCCTCAAACTGCTCCTTAATAATTTGGAAAGGTCCCTGATTGCAGGCTGACTTTCCCAGTGAAAGCAAGGTTGTGTCAAATGCATAACACAGCTTACTGACGAGTATTCCTCTGATCCTGATGTATCCTCTTTCCATACCTATTCAATCTGTATGGTGAGATCTGATAGCACAGCTATCAGAAACACACAGATATCAAGAAGATTTCTTTTAAAAAGTTCAACATGAAATGCACTACTAACAAGCTGTATTTTAAACCGCAGGTTTATCCCTTTAAAAATCTTTAAAAAAGACAGCTTCAACTACATATATGACACTACATAAGTAGAGAGTTTTCAATTTGCATTAATCAACTTTTTTCTTATATATCAACCCAGTCTAATCAAAGACAGACAAGGGAAATTATATGCCTGATAGAGACTGTAACAAAAATGAAAAATCCACCAAATGAGGATTTAAACAACTCCAATGTTTCTATCATTTGATGTAGTAATCTAACTTTCAGATTTGTTGTGAGGTGACTCCCAACTTATTTCCAACTCAGAGTGACCCTGTGGACAACACTGCCCTGTCCTTAGAATCCCTGCTATTCTCAGCCCATGGTTGAGGGTCCAACTCATTGAACACTTTGCTCTTCTTGCTGATCCTCTACTTTACAAAGCATGATGTCTTCTTTAGGGACTGGCCTCTCCTATTATCTAGCTCAAAGTATGTGAGATTAAGCCTTGTCATCCTCACTTAAAAGGAACATTCTGGCTACATGTCATCCAAGAGAGATTTGATCGTCCTCTTGACTGTGGTTGGTCTATTCAATATTCTTAACCAGCATCATAATGAAAAAGCATCAGATGTTCTTGGCCTTATGAATTCATGGTCCAATTTTTCCATGCTTCTGAGGCAACTTAAAATATTACAGTTTGGGCCAGACATACCTTACTCCTGAAAATGATATCTCTGTTTGGGTTTTGGTTTTGTTTTTTTTTTAAGAAAACAATAAAACACAAACCCAAACTTTAACAAGTTCTTTTGCAGCAGATGTGCTCTATGCAAGGCACCAATGTCCTGACTTCTGCTTCCATGGAAGTTGACTACAAAGTGAAATGAAAGCCTTGAAAACGTCAATCTTTTCTTCATTATATTAGTGTATAATCTTTAGGATTGTATTTTAATAACAGAAAAACTATTATACTCTGATACATTCTATTACATACATATGTACTATATTCCATTATAAAATAAAACATGGATATAGTGTTCTGGTTTTAAAATCTTAATTCACTATTTAAGCTGATTTCAACTCCTATTTTTCCTGTATTATAAAGTAGGATTGCCCTGTAGGGTTTCATAAATTGTAATCTTTAAAATAGCAGAGCAAGAGGTCTTTTCTCTAGTGTCACTGTTGGTGGGTTCAAATCTTTGACTGTTCAGTGGGTAACCTAATGCTTAGCAGTGTATTCTTACTATCTCTGCAATTACTTATCTTTTCTGTATCTCCATTTCCTCACCCATGTTTGTTTCATCAGGAGCTGTCAATTTATGGTGACCCTGCGTACCACAGAATGAAACAGACACTGCTGATCCTGAGCCAGCCTTACACTGCCTGCTGGGCTGGAGCCAGCTGCTGCAGCCACTGTGTCATCCACCATATCAAGAATCTTAGCAGTAGCAATTATTCTTCAGTCTTTCTGAATTAGTGTCCAACCTTCTTATGCATGTGAGATGCTGAAAATACTATCCTTTTGGTCAAGTACACAGATAAGTATGCTTTTATTATAGGGTTGTTGTAAACATTAAATGAGTTAATAAATAACACTGGATCTACACATTAGAATTCTTCTCTTCCACCAAATACTACTATATTGCAATAAATACTACAGTCGTATAAAATGCCAGAAATGAATACTATATAAGCAAATATGCTATCAAAAGAGCAACTACCAGGCTAAGACAACTGACTTTTAGGGACAATTTCTTCCTGTAACAGTCAGATCCGATGTGACAGTAAACACACACAAAATAATCATCATCATTAACTAACTTTTAAATTTATATATTTTTTTCTTAACAGTTGTGCATTGTTGTTGTTAGGTGCTGTTGACTCAAGTATGACTCATAGCACCCTACGAACAAAAGATCTGCACCCTTTGTATCCCGTGTCTTCCTCACTTCCAGACACACGAGAGCCCACTGCAGTAGTCACCGTGTCAATCCACATGTTTGGTAGTCTTCCTCTCCTTCGCCAACCGTCCACCCTTTCCAGCACCATGTCCTTTTCTAAGGAATAACCTCTCCTAGCAACATGCCCAAAGTATGTGAGGTGAAGCCTCATAATTCTTGCCTTTAAAGAGCATTCTGGCTGTACTCCTCCAAGACATATCTGTTCGTTCTCTTGGCCATCCATGGGATATGCAGTGGTCTTCTCCAACACCACAGCTCAAAGGTGTGTCAAATCTTTTCCTGTCATCCTTATTCACTGTCCAGCTCTCAGATGCATAACAATTAATTGGAAAGACCATGGCCTGAATCAGACGCACCGAAGTCCTCAAACTGACATCACTACTCTTCAGTAACTTAGAGAGGTCCTTAACTGCAGACTTTCCTAGTGCAATACATCTCCTTATTTACTGACTGCTGGTAACAAGAGTGTTCATGGTCGATCCAAGATGAAGCTGTTATAGTTTCAATATCCTCTACATCCATCCTATCATTCCAGTGGTAAGAATCTTTGTTTGAAACTGAGATGCAATCTGTACCAAAGGCTGCATTCCTTGATCTTTTGCAACAGGTGCTTCAAGTCCTCCTCACTTTCAGCAAGGTTTTATCATATGCAGGAGTCTCCCTCCAATCCTGATGCCACACTCCTCTTCATAGAGTCCAGCTTCTCAGATAATCTGCTTAGCATACAGACTGAATAGGTATGGAGAAAGAATACTACCTTGACACACTCCTTTCTCAATTTTAAACCATTCAGTGTTTCCCTTGCTCTGTACACACAACAGCTCCTGGTCCAGGTAGGGGTTAAGCATAAACACAAGTAATTACCCACATTAACACCAGCGTTGTTTTGCTTTTACATTAAAAAGATATTCTATCAGATATTTTGAGTGGTCTCAAAATATAAATGTGCGTTAACTAAGTTTCTGTACATTTCAAAATTCACTACACAATTTTATTTTTCTGTCCATCTTTTCCCCAAAACAGCTACCAGTCCTTAAAGTAGTTTCTGATATAGATTCTGATAGTTGTTCTACATCTCTGAAGTGTATTTAAGCGTATTCTTACGTTTGTGGCCACGTGTATGTGCATGTGTAGGTATGTATGGAATAGGAATTAGGATACTTGCATTTATATACAAGGAATGAATACACCATGTTGTAGTTGTTAGGTGCTGTCTAGTTAAGGATAACTTATAGCAACCCTGTGAACAACAGATCTGAACCCTGTTTTACCCTGTGCCATTCTCATCATCTCTGACACACAGGAGTCCTACGATAACTACAGTCATTGTGTCAGTCCATCTCATCCAGGGTCTTCCTCTCTCTTACTGACCCTCCCATCCTTCCAAGCATGTGTCCCTGTCAAACAAATAACCTCACCTAGCAACATCCTCAAAGTATATGGGACAAAGTTTCTCCATCCTTACCTCTAAAGAGAACTCTGGCTACATTTCTCCAAGAAATATATGTTCGTTCTTTTGGCAGTTCATGGGATAGTCAGTACTATTCTCCAACACACACGATTAAAG